CGTGCACATCACCCGGAAGACACGCGACAACGCCGGGCACGCTGGGGGCGGGGCCATGGTCATCCGAGGGAAAACTCTATGGTTTTCCCTCAGATGGTCGTGGCCCCGCCCCCAGTGTGTCCAGCATGGTCGCGTCACTTCTGAGTGACGTGGATGCGGCATGCGTGCGCTCCAGCCGCCAGCCGGGAGTCCCCCGCTGCGGCGAAAATCAGACTTGGCAACCCTAACGTGGAGGTTGGCAGCCATACATGGGAATGATAGTTCTGTGATCAGGGATCAGTTCCAGTTTCAGTTGTATCTCGGAGGAGAGAACCATTGCCTACGCCAGGGGTCCCCAACCCTTCTGAGCCTTGGGCACCTTTGGAATTCTGACACCAGGTGGCGGGCGCAACCACAAAATAGCTGCAAGACTGCAGAGCACCACACACACACACACACACACATAAACACAGAGGAAACCCAAGTGCAGGGAGCAAGAGGAATAATTTTTAAAAATACACTTGGAAAAAGTGAGAATAAACACAACCTTGCAGTGGCAGTTGCTGCTGAAACAAAGTTATTTTAATCTGCATAGCCAATTAGATAGGCAGTGGCCAATCTGAAGCCCTGCTGGGGAGGAGCCCCCCCGCCCCCTTTAAAAAACCACTTGGCAGGTGCCAGGAAAGGTGTCGGTGGGCACCACGTGGGGGACCCTTGGCCTACACTTTTGGAGGAGGCAGACAGAGGCAGTTTTGCCCCATGTGGCCTGGGACAATATGTCTTGCATTCATAGGGGCACTATCTTCAAACGTTGAAGAATACCCCATGGCACAGGTAGCCCTACAACTGCAGCTGAATGCAGGAAATAACCTATGAACCAACAAGTTCCTAGAGGACTTGATCCAAGGGAATCTATGGCCCTGCAGTTTCTCACCCTCCGAAAGGTGTGGGTGGGGCCACAGAAGACAAAAACCATGCGAACGGGGCCTCCACAAACAGGGTGCCATCCAGTGTTCCCTCTAAGCTGAGTTAGTGTGAGCCAGCTCACAGTTTTTTCGCCTCCAGCTCACACGTTTTTGTCTTAGCTCAGGAAGGAGGGCTCCAGAGCAAACTAATTGATGCAATAGCCATATTACTTACAACTTTATTGCCAGTAGCTCACAAAGTAGAATTTTTGCTCACAAGACTCCACAGCTTAGAGGGAACATCACAACTGCTGCCTGTGTTTATGTGTTTTTTCAGGTACATCTGCAATGCAAACTGTTGTGGCTCCCCCCCCCCAAGGATCCTGGGAATTGTAGTTTTTATTGCAGATAATTCTTTTAGGGGCCTCTCTGCCAGAGAACTCCTGTGGCTCTTTGGGGAGAAAGGGAGGTCTGTTCATCTAATTGAATTTAAATCTAATTTAAGGCAGTACTGTAGATGTGCACTGCCCAATGACCTAACCAAACTCCCAATTCACTCAGCCATTTTCTTCCTCTCCCTGTCTTCAGATTTCTGCAGCACTATATTCCACAAACCATATACACTAAAATCAGCAAAAATTGTAAAATACCAACCTTATCTCCGAAAGAAATCCCCCCCCCCCCAATCTCTCTGGATTTTCATTTGCGGGTTATAGAATTGTTCTCATTCTTCTCTTCCCTTATCATCTCTACACCCACCTTTCAAAAGAGAAAAGCCACATGACAAGTTTATTTATACAACCTGTAATTTTTGGAACAAAGTGACACAAAGAGAGCTCTCTCTCTCTCTCTCTCAAGGATTTTGGGGGGGGGACGACACAGAAAACAAAGTAATTCAATTTGGTAATATAGTTACAAGAAGAAGTGTAAATGCTTTCCTACTGTTCTCATCCAACAGAGCCCGTGATCCAGTTACCATTTTGAGGTGTTTCCACGAGAAGGCAAAACAAAACCCTTGTCAGCGGATTCTGAATTTTCAAGTCTCCACGAACTCACTAGATAGCTTCCTAAAGCCACCTTCTCTCAGCCTCAGCTCCCATGTCTTCAGTATGAAAGAGGGCAGGGAAATAATCAAATCAGCCTGCCCAAAGGGTTGTTGTGAGGATTGCTCAAAGTACTCTATAAAAGCCAAGTTGTTATTTTTAGTAGCATTAACATTAGCTCAGCACACCAGCCCCTGCTGCTCATAGGCTTTCAAAGGAGCAGTGCTCCAAAGTGCGTGTTGGAAAGTCCCAAGTTCAAATGACGCAGACAGCTTGGCAATGCTCCCTCGAAGCTGTGGAGTCTTGTGAGCAAAAATTCTACTTTGTGAGCTACTGGCATTAAAGTTGTGAGCGAGCGATTTGGCTACTGTATACGTTAGTTTGCTCTGGTGCCATCCTTCCTGAGCTGAGACAAAAATGTGTCAGCCGGAGGCTAAAAAACTGAGCTAGCTCACACTAGCTCAGTTTAGAGGGAACACCGCTTTCTAAGTGGAGCGTAAGAGGAGGGGAGGAGGAAGGAGGAGATTGGATTTATACCCCACCATTCACTCAGAGTCTCAGAGCGGCTTACACACTCCTTTCCCTTCCCCTCCCCACAGCAGACCCCCTGTGAGGTGTGTGGGTCTGAGAGAGATCTTTCGAGGACTGCTCTTTCAAAAACAGCTCTTGTCAGAACTGTGGCTTGCCCAAGATCATCCAGCCGCTGCATGCGGAGGCATGGGGAATCAAACCCAGTTCTCCCAGATTAGAGTCCGCGCACTTAACCACTACACCAAATTGGCACTTCCTCCTCCCTCCCTCCCTCCCTCTGCTCATCCTCCTTGCCCTCCAAGTTCTGCAATATGGGGGTAATACTTAGGGTTGCCAGCTCCGGGTTGAAAAACCCGTGTAGATTTTGCGAGTGGCTGTTTGACTAGCCAATGGCGAAGCTTGCTTTCAGCAGTCTGACACGAACAGCAGGGAATGGATTGCTCTGTTATTGCCAAGAGATGCCATTCCCATAATCAGGTTCCTCTACATAAGACCGCTGAGGAAGAACGTGTCTTTCGCGCTTTTGCAGAGGTCAGCAGTGGGTTACATCGGCCTTGTCTGGATCTACGAAGAAGCCCTCAAAGCACTACGTGTTACTGGTTCATGACAACCCAGGTTCTCATTTGTGTGCCCTCTAGGAACAGTCAGTGACGTGTTTTCTATGATGGATGTAACCGAACATCCTACACTGTCCTCTATGAACGTGAGCTCTCTGGAACAGCCCCAGGAAGAACTAGCTGAAATTACATTGGGCAAGGTATTCAATGGACGGATGGCAGTGAATCTGTTAGTTTCTGCAAGCTTACCCATGCACGGGGTGGGCAAGGCTCATCCTGACATAAACAGCAAAATGTCTCCCCTCCTCTCCATGGCTTTACTGTGTGTGCATGCGTGAGTGGACGTGGAACACGCATGATCGTGAAGCTGTCCGACTCTGTGTGTGTTTGTGTGTGTGTGTGTGTGCGCCCTTGACTCTGATTCTCATGTCTGTGTATGCCACAGTGTCTCCTTAGTAGAGTATTCGGTACTTGGTGAGCTACCGCCAACTAGCTCTTGCCTCTTGGATGAGTAGTGGCTGTGCCACACGTGCAGCATCCTCACGCGGATATATGAATTGGCATTTATTTGCTTGTTATTTATTTGTTTAATCTGTGTCCTGCCCTTCCCGCCAAGGCAGGCTCAGGGCGGCTTAACAGACAATATCTCAAAACAGTTAAAACACCGCGTTTAAATAAAATCACAACACTACAGAATAAAACATATCATAAAGTGCTAGTATAATTCGTAGCCAGTGGTGGCGTTCTCAGCAGCCATGTGATCAGCTACTGCTGTAGTCTGGGGTTTTGTCAGGCTATTGATCCTATTTTTGAGTTGACGTTGGTACTGGGGCCAGGGCCTCGTCATTGGAAGGGCGGCACCCTAATCGAAAGCCCAGTGGAAGGGCCCTGATGTCATCCGGGAGCTCATTCCACCGGCACGGGGCCTCCACTAAGAAGGCCCTGGCCCTTCTCACAGCTAGCCTGACTTCTTTTGGGCCTGGAAGGGCCAGATGATTTTGGGAACCCGATCTTAGTGCTCTCTGGGAAACATAATTTTCTTTTAAAGGTTCTATATCCCTGTCATATATAGGGCTTCCTGTCATCTCTCATACATATGTCTGATCAGGTCTACCCTAGCTTAGTTTCCCCTCCCCTCCTTCTCTCACTGGTTTTGTCTGTGGCTTTACCTGCCATTTTAATGAAACTGCTGGATTTTAGGATCCATCTAAAGTGTAGTTACTTCAATCTATTGCCTACAGTTAGGTTATATATCGCTAACTTAGCGTACTGGTGATTTAGGGATAGTGTGCTGTTTTGACATTGCTTTGTTTTCACTTTCTGCATTTCGTTGTTGTTGGAAACTGCCTTGGAAACACAGACTCAAACATGTGTATATACATATCTTCAATAAATAAAAAGGCTATTCACGGAGCTCTTGAGTCCATGCCTGTGGCTCTGCAGATCTGGAGTATACTCTTGTCCCTTGTCCCGCTCCTGTATACCAGTCCTGATCTCATGCTGCTGCTGAAGTGGACTCTGGCTCATTAAAGCCGAAGTCACAAGAAATCTGGTTTTCATAGTGCCCCAAGTTCCTTGGTTGTCAGTCTCAGTCCTGCATCCCATTCCAACAGCCCGATCCTCTCTCCCCTCCCCTAGTCTTGAAACAGATGACCCGAGTGGCACAAACTGAATTTGTGATTTTGTTCAGATGTTTAGTCGTTTAAAAATATGGATTGCTACTTGACCTGGTGGGCTCCAGGGATGCATGTAACATTTTCCTTTGGGCTTCATCTTCTGTAATGAACTGTCGAGATCTCATAATATTCCTAGTCTTGTAGGATTCAGCACTTTTCCCTCCTTTTCTTTCTGGAGTCAGGTCTTTTTATTGTACACGCTCCCTAGCTTAAGGTTACCTTCATAAGACAAAACAAGGAAGCAATAACTGCAAACCATTTTTTGAAAGCCAAGCTTTTGTCTCTCTTTCCATTTTACTTGCCGTTCAGGTTACCGAAGGTGATATTGGGCCCTTCAGCTCTGTCAAACTGCAGATTATTTTCACTCCAGCAGTTCCTGGGGATGTTCGTGCTGAATTTGAGATTACCTTTGACAACTTTGACACACCCGCCTGCGATCCAGGTGGTGTCATCCCCCCCCCCCCCGGTGCTAGGCTTCCTTGCATGCAAGGAAAATGGGCTTGAAAAGCCTTTTCTGTGAGGCCAGAATTGATGGAGACCTGAGTATGGGAACACAGGTGAGCTGATCCAGATGCATTTCCTGGCTGTTTTAAATAGACACTGTTTCCCCTTGACTTTTCTTGGCATTGCTTTGTGTTTAGTTGCACTTCAGTGCCGTTGCCGTTTCTGTGGCCGTGCCTGTATGGGTGCCCAATCCAGATGTCGACCTCAAAATCTGTATGTACGACAGGCTGTATCAGGACTGCATCATCATTCAAAGTAGGTGAGTGAGCCTACTAATATAACTATTATATTATATATAATATAACTAGAGCTGGTTTGGTGTAGTGGTTAGGAGCATGGGCTCTAATCTGGGAGAACCAGGTTTGATTCCCCAGTCTTCCACATGCAGCTGCTGGTGTGACCTAGGGTCAGTCACAAGTTCTCTCAGAGATGTTCTCTCAAGGGCAGTTCTCGGGAGAGCTCTCTCAATCTGTCTGTTGTGGGGAGGGGAAGGGAAAGGGATTGTAAGCCGCTCTGAGACTCCTTCGGGTAGTGAAAGGCTGGGTATAAATCTAATCTATTATTATTATTATTATTATTATTATTATTATTATTATTATTATTATTATTCACAAATAAGCGTTACATCCTTTTCATTTGTTTGTTTTGCCGTCAAGTCACAGCTGACTTTTTGCCATCAAGGTGAAGCTGGCTACCTCGTAGGGTTTTCAAGGCAAGAGCTGAACGGGTGGTTTGGTTTACCATTGTTCGCCTCTGTGTAACAACCCAGGACTTCCTTGGCGGTCTCCCATCCAAGTACTAATCCGGGCTGAGCCTCCTTAGCTTCCAAGATCTGATGAGATCAGGCTAGCTTATCCGGGTCAAGATGGAGGCTAACTTGGTGGTGGAAAGTGCCATCAAGTTGCAGCTGACTTATAGCTACCTCATAGGATTTTCAAGGCAAGAGACATTCAGAGGTGGTTTGCCCTTGCCTCTTTGCAGTTTGGTGTAGTGGCTATGTGTGCGGACTCTAATCTGGGAGAACCGGGTTTGATTCCCCACTCCTCCACTTCCACCTGGCTGGATGACCTTGGGCAAGCCGTAGCTCTGATAAGAGCTGTTCTTGAAAAAGAGCAGTTTCTGTCAAGAGCTCTCTCAGCCCCACCTACCGCACAGGGTATCTGTTGTGGAGAGGGGAAGGGAAAGGAGTTTGTCAGCCGCTCTGAGACACCTTTTGGTAGTGAAGGGCGGGGTATAAATCCAATCTCTTCTTCTTCTTCTGCATAGCGACCCTGGACTTACATAAGAACATAAGAGAAGCCAATGTTGGATCAGGCCAAGCCCCACCATGGGCGCACTGTGTCAGCAAGATCTAATACAAATGACCAAAATAAGCACAGAATAATCCTTGTGGAGAAAATCCTCAGCTGGCACTAGGTCCAAACACACTGGAGTGCCGCCTAGTTCATTCCTGTCCGCCCTCTGATGGCCTTGTAGATTGCATTTGGAAGCTGGAAGGAGGGGTTCCCAGCTGAATCCAGGCATGATGAAAGGGTGCCTAGCTGCTTCACATCCTCCTTCTGATGGCTTTGGGGAACCGGAGGGAGGGGCTTCCAGCTGGATCCTGGCATGATGGAAGGGTGCCTGGCTGCTTCCTGTCCTCCCTTGGATGGCCTCATAGATGGCTTTGGGGAACCGGAGGGAGGGGCTCCCAGCTGGATCCAGGCATCACAGAAGGGTGCTTGGCTGCTTCCTGTCTTTCCTCTGCTACAGATGACAGCTGGAAGCATGATCTCAGACACCAGCTATGATTATAATATAACCCTCACCAAGTGTGGGCATTATTTTCATAGAAATTTTAAAACATTGTCTCTGAGCAACGAGCATCCTCCCTCTCTCACAAGGTCCGTGTGTTTCAGTCTTTGCTTTTTAGAGAGGCTTGTATCATATCCCATGACCAGCAGCTGCTGGCTCCCACCTCTCTTTCAAATCTACACATTCTGCTGGCTAGGACGAGTGTTCCTATTTTTGTCTTCCTTTTCTTTCCCGCTGTTTTAAAGATTCTATTTAAATGCAAACAAATAGGATTGATTTTTATTTTATTTTCCTTCCTCCCTCCTCCTTTTTTTTTTTTTTTACTATTTCTGTTGAAAGGCATATATTCTGAACTCCTTACTAGAATTAGATACCGCTGAGATTCTTCGCAGTTGGAAGGAAATGAGTAAAGCCGTTATCTCCAAAATTCAGCTTACCAATGTGACAAGCGTTGGGTTATGTAAGAGATTTCCCTGGGTCTAGATAACCCCCCGCCCCCAGAGGCGAGATTAAAAGTACAGAGGCAGGGTAATTTCTCTATCCGATCAGCGGGGATTCAGTCTTCCAATGTAAATCTCAGGTTTTGAGGTGTTCTTTTTGGAAAGCTGTCAAATCACATTGTCCAGAACTTGACCCGGGCCTTTAGTTTTAACAGATGCCAGTTTCTTCGCCTGCTGCTGACTGTGCTGGGCGACCCGTCCAGGACGAATCCTCTCTCGGCTTCAGAACAGCTTCCCAGATGGCATGCTTTTGTTGTCTAAGCATCGGGCATGAAATTTCGAGAACCACCTCTTCCAATACCAAAGGCAGTGTAAAATTAAAAGAAGGAGGCAAAAAGGAAGAATCTGAATGTCCAGGGTCAGCACCTCTGCCCCCTGCACTTACCCCAGGGGGTCTGCAAGCCCCACCGAGGGCACACTGTGTCAGCAAGCCCTGAAGCTACATCATGGCTGTTCATGCCATGCAGTGAGCATTATCCAGTTCCCCCAACTCCCATACAGCGTGGGGGAGAGAGAGAACATTGTACTGCTGCTAGATGAGTGGATTCCTGCTCAAAGCAATTGCAGTGAAGTTCAGGGCAATGTTTCTTATCTAGACCCACAGCTCAGCCTTGTCATGCTACTGTGCTGTGAGGGGCCCCCTAATTATTTAGTACACCCTGTGATTCTGTATGGTTCCCCCCCCCCCAGTAAATATTATAATCTCTCAGCCTTAGTTGGCCCTCCTTCTCCATCAGCCAAATGTAGCAGTGCTCTGTTTCTGATCTACTACGGGAAAAGTAGACAAAGAATCAAGTCACGTCCATCAGCAGAGTTGGCCAGCTTTAAGCCAACTCAAGTCTCCCTTTCTTCCACAGAGCAACGTCTGCACTACGCTTGAAGTTTGAGGTTTGCAAGGAACTGGCCAATCACATGGAACTGCTTCCAAAGACAGGCTACATTCAAGCCCATTCATCCTTCAGTGTGCAGCTGAAGTTCCTGCCAAGGTATGGCCAAAACCCTTTCTTCCATTCCCGTAGATAGGCTTAGTTTCAGCTGGGTAGCCATGTTGTTCTGCATTAGAAGACCAGTAACACCTTAGAGACCAACTAGGTTTTTGGGGTATAAACGTTCAAGACTGAAAGCTCCCTTCATCAAATAGGCTGGGTTTGTACAAGCCATGGTCAGAGTTGTAAAACTGTTCCTGGGTTCGTAGTGCATCTGACTGCAAGCAGAGGTTCATGGAGGTGAAGGGACTCCTTAAAGATTCCCAGGCTGGAATAGTATATGGGATTCCCAACTCTATACGACTAAATAATTGAGTATAAAATCACAAAACTTTAAGGTATATTCCAGGTGGTATATGACTTCAATGAGACTGTTTCAGTGCAAATTTAAGACGAATTCTAGTTGCTGGAAAGGCTGTGGTCAAACAGGAACTTTTTTACATTGCTGGTGGGGGGTGCCCCTGGACAACTATCATTCCAGTTATCAACAAAATTCTGGATCATTCTATACCTAATGCCCCTGAATCTATATTACTATATTACTTAATTTTTGGCCAGATCAATCCTTATCGAAACATAAAATCAAATTAGCAACCAAAATCCGGATAGCTCAGTTTTGGAAACAAGCCACAATACCTTCTTTGAAACAATGGTTTTCTAAAATATGGGATATTGCAGCAGTGGATAAAATTGCAACATAGCTAGTAGTGTCTGAGTCTCCTACAAAGACGCACGATTTTGTTGAAAAGTTGTTTCCTTTTTTTCGAATATGTTACCTCTAATCCTCTAATCCATGTATTTTACCTAGAAAATATATGGATTTTGTATTTTGTTAACTATAGTCATGTTCTTTAATGCAATTTAAACCTTAGTATCGGTGTACTTACAGTGTACGGGTTTTTTCTATCGTTATTTGTTATTTGTATTTTTACTGTTAAAAGTTATATAAAATTTAAAAATGTATGCTAAAAAAAAAAAAGATTCCCGGCCTTTGAAACTCCGCTTGCCAAGAAAAAGATTAGGCTGGACTCTCTCCTTCCTGACATGTTAGTTTTCTACAGGGCTTTTTTTGTAGAAAAAGCCCAGCAGGAACTCATTAGCATAATAGGCCACAACTAACAACAGAAACTCATTAGCATATTAGAAACTCATGAGCATTAGCATATCTGGCCCTTGGAGGGAAGGCAGTTTAAACTGCCTTCCCTTGGCTTGCTCGGGCGCCCCGTAGCTGTGGGGAGCCCGGGCAAGCTGGCCATTGGACAGGCCGGGGAAGGCACGGGGAGGCATTTAAATGCTTCCGTGATCCTTCCAGGCCTTCCCTGGCCCGCCCGCCTTGGAGTCACCAGGGGGGTCTCTCTCTAGGCCTTCCCTCTGTAGCCACACACACAGAGGTTTAGACTGTAGTGGGCGTGGCCAACTCTGAAGCCAGCCGGAACCCCGTTCCTGTGCGTTCCTGCCCAAAAATAGCCCTGGTTTTCTAGAAACATGGAGGTTGTTGCTTTTTTTAAAAAAAATTCTAGAACAATATTCATTTATTCAGCCCCTCTCCTATACTCTGCAATGGCTGTGCCTGAGAACCCCATCTACTGTTTGTGTGAAGGATTCTCTGTGCAGGGTGGAGAATGTGTCTTGGTCTATGTTTGTGTGTCCAAATGAGCCTCCAAACAAGGGAAGCGGCCTAGATTCTCCCTGTTAAAGGGCAGTCCGTGGTGGTGGTGGTGGGAGGATTAATTGCTTCGCCAGGAAAGCATCGTGAGTAAACCACAACATAAAAACGAAGCATTTAGTGTGGCACTCGGAGCATTAGTGGTGGTTTATCCTACACTGGTGGTGAAAAGTACAGTCAGGTCACAGCCAACTTATGGTGCCCCCGTAGGGTTTTTGAGGGACGAGAGAAACAGAAGGGGTTTCCCGCTGCCTGCCTCTGCATAGCAGACTTCCTTGGTGGTCTCCCGTTCAAGTACTCACCAGGCCAGCCATGCTTAGTGCCCAAGATCTGATTAGGTTAGGCTAGCCTGAAACATCCAGGTCAGGGCCTATCCTACATTAAACAGTCCATAAGAGGCTGCGATCATACGCACAAGTAGCCCCTACTTAGGCGCAAACGCTGGGCGGATTTAAAGGGCACGATCAGACAGCAACATCTGGGAAGTGCCCCACAGCTGTCAGCAACCCGTGTTGCTCCACCGCAGAAACGGAGTAAACAGGCACCGAGGAAAGTCCGGTAGCAAACGGGTTGCTGCGGGCCACAGACAGACTTTCCCCTGTCTGATCACTCCAACGCGCTCTCATGGCGTCGGGATGGTCTGATCAGGCCATCCCGACTCCGTGCCCTTCTCAGTATGCGTATCATCGCACACTCCATAGGGAGCCTTCAATGCGGAGGTGTGATTAATCGATTCCTTAAGTGCATTGGAAACAAACAGCAAAAAAAAAAGAACCCAACTCACCCATGGTTGTATCTGATCACGCAGTGGTGGGCTGCGCCCGCAGCTCCAAAGGACTGTGTGATCACGCAACTGCGGGTCAAATTCCTCCGGAGGGAATAGCCTTGCTCCCCCCCCCCCCGTTTTATCTGGCCCATGTTATTGCAGCCAGAATAAAGTTTAAGACTGACAAAGTTTAATTCTGGGTATCAGTTTTCGTGCGCATGCAGACTGCGTCACGAGAATGATGTTCATCTTGTTACCATATGGTTAAAAAGGTCGATGGCTCTTCTCCTTCTTGACTCTCTTTCCTTTTGGCATATGGATGAGTTGCCGGGTTGCCCAGGAAGGAAATTGATTTGGATCACATCCCTTTCACTGCTGCCTTCCCCGCAGTGTTAGCTTGCAGCACCAAAAGTCTTCCCACAATTAATCTCGCAAGCACAGTAGAGAAACGTTTGTCTCGTCCTCTAGGAGATTGCACATAAACACACCTCCTAAATGCCATGGGATTCCAGGGGGATCTACAGATTAACATGTCTATCCATCTAGGAGATCCTGAATGTTTCTTAAATCTTTGTCAGGCCTGCCAGTTTGAGATTACAGCCACGGGCCAAGGGAAGCAGAGGGGAAATCATCACCAGACAGGCAGACAGAAAAGTTCACTCTAAAGACCTTGCTCAGATTTTAAAGAGCCGGACCAGAGTTTGAGGATTTATTGGGTCAAGTGAAACATCATTGGCCCCTGGTCACCTGACCACTCCTGAGTGTAATACCTCCTCCTGACTAGTGGCTTTGAAGTCCCAAAATGGTGCTTTAAGTGCCAGCAGCCCCCTCTTCTGGCAAGCTGTCACAATCACACAGAGACTAAGGTTCTTGCCAAAGTCCCCAGCTTTTTTGGGGGGGACCCCATGAGCTTTACAAGCAGGGGTCATTTCCTACAGGAGCGCACAGTAGCGGAGCTCCGGCAGTAAAGATCCCGGGGGTGGGCACATGCAACAAGTCCCACCCCCTGTTCCCAGCAGCCCTCAGTCAAAGCAAGAAGCAGCCAGGTAAGTTGCAGAGCTCCCCCCGGCTCCCCCGGCCCAAAACAGTCCAGTGGCACCTTTAAGACCAAGTTTTATTCAGGTACAAGCTCTCTCTCCTCTGCAAGGACAGATCTGTACATTCCCCCCCCCAATAGCTAGCAATCCAAAACAGTCCAGTGGAGCCTGAGCGGTGGGTGTTGCCTTCTGACACACTTCCGGTGAGGTCAGGGGGTGTGGCACATGCAAATAAGTTATGCTAATGAGTTATGCTAATGAGCTCCTGCACCTCTTTTTCTACAAAATAACCCTTGTTTAGAAGTGATTTGCATGGTGGGCGGGTGGGTGGGAAGAACTGCTCTGCAAAACACATCTAGAACCCTGCAAGGCTTGCAGAAGTTTTTGTGCACTGAAACTCAGTGGTAGAGCATCTGCTTTGCATGAAAACCCTGTGTTCGTACCCTGGCATGGCCAGTTAAAGGGCCTTCAGTAACAGGATTGGGAAATGCCTTAGGCCTTGAAGGAGGCAGTAGTGAAGCAGGTGCATCAATAGCCTGGCAGCAGAAGGCAGCTTCCTGTTTCAGAGCGAGATTGTGAATCAGGCACACTTTTCTCCAGCGTCTCCAGTTCAGTGATCTTCAGTGGTATGGCTAGGATGGACATTTCTCTCCCTGCACCGCCAGTCAGGAGACAATACTGAGCCAGACAGACTCGCTATAAACAGCTTTTTATATGCTCTTTGAATAAATTACCAGGGCTGTATGGCAGCACAAGCCAAAGAGATGCAAGCGTGGCATGTCTCCTTCCACGGAGAATGCCTGCCCTATTGTGGAGACAGAGAGTCTGTTGTTAAGACAGTTCCCAGTCCCTGAACTTCAAATGTTGTGAAACACTGCTACAGTTTTGTCAAGTGGATAAAGGCAAACAGCTTGGATTAAAAATGTTAATCTGTGTGTGTGTGTGTGTTTGTGCGTGTGTATTTTTGAAATGGGGGGGAAAGCCTCAAAAAGGAGATTTGATGAGATTAAGGCAGTTCTGAGTCACGAGATAAGTACCAGACTGGCACACCAAAGAGAAACCAGTTAAAGCGTGTATTTGGAAGGCTGAGGGAGGGGTGCAGAGGAGACTTGGGTGTTGAAAGTGCCGACCTAATGTAGCTTTGTGGAAACGTTTTGGGTGGCTCTGCTTTCCTCACAAGATAGTCTGAGTTGCCATATACGTGGGCAGCTCAGAGGGCTGCCAAGTGGGGGCGGGGGGTGGGTAAACCCCTGCTTTGGAGGCCCGATTACTGCCGCCGTGGAATCGGGCCTCGGGGGGAACTCCGCCCCTCGAAGCACAGCGTGGCTGCGTCACCAGAGGTGACGCAACCACGTCGATCACGTTGGGGGCGTGGCCCGGATCGTTGGAGGGAAAACTCTATGGTTTTCCCTCCGACGAGTCGGGCCACGCCCCCAACGTGGTCGACGTCGCGCGTCACTTCTGGTTACCCACGCGCATCCGAGGACGGCTCCCCCGCCAGTGAGTTTTTTTGACTTGGCAACCCTAGCAGCCCAGGAGCGTTTCTGTAACAAGGAAGGCCTCTTTTGTAATTGCATCGAATGAAAAGTGGCCATCTCACCAGGCTTTTGCTTAGCCATTTCACTGGCCCAGTTCAGAATGCCGGCATCGAAGTCTAAAGGCCTGAACAGTTCTGGAAAGGGATGCCTGCTGGATCGCAAGAGGGGCCAGTGGTCTGGCTTGCAAGCGTGTGCCCCTTCCTATATTCAGCGAATCCCTATGGTGGAGAGTCCCATCAAGTCACAGCTGGCGTATGGTGACCCCTGTAGGGTTTTCAAGGCAAAAGAGAACAGAGGTGGTTTGCTATTGCCTGCCTCTAAATAGCAACCTGGGATTTCCTTGGTGGTCTCCAATTTTCCCTCTAAGCTGTGGAGTCTTGTGAGCAAAAATTCTACTCTGTGAGCGACTGGCATTAAAGTTGTGAGCAAGCGATTTGGCTACTGCGTAAATTAGTTTGCTCTAGAGCCATCCCTTCCTGAGCTGAGGCAAAAACGTCTGAGCCAGAGGCTGAAAAACTGTGAGCTGGCTCACACTAACTCAGCTTAGAGGGAACACTGGTGGGTCTCCCATCCAAGTACTAACCAGGGCCAAGCTCGTGATGCTGACACTTCCCTCAAAATTGTATGGCTTTTTTCAGCAGCCTTAGCAAGGGAAACGTGAACATATGAAGAGAATGTTAGAAGGTTGGCCGTGTTGGTCCGCGGTAGAACAGCTAGATTTGAGTCCAGTAGTAGCCAGAACGGAAATCTTCATTATGGTTCGTAACCCAGCACAAACAGTCCAACCATAGCATATTCAAAGCATACATACATCCAGCTCAAAATAATTCAAAACCATTTCCGAGATAAATACACTGCATTAGCCTAAGAGTCTTTGAGTTACGCTTTTAAGAGATCTTTCCTAATTCTGGCGGCTGCTGCCAAAAATTTGGTGCATGCTAATGTCACCTGTGGTGCATGCTAATGTCACCTGCGTCTATCATAAACTAGATTTTGGGAGTATCGGCTTTCGAGAGTCAAAGCTCTCAAAAGGTCATACCCTGAAGGGGTATACCCCCAAAATCTTGTTGGTGCTACTGGACTCGAATCTAGCTGTTGAAGCCATGAAGTTGCTTCATACTAAGACCATTGGTTGAGCTAGACCGGTCTTGTTTGTTCTGACTGCCTGTAGCTCTCAGGCTCTGTGTGTGTGTTTGTGTGTGTGTGTCCATCCGTCCGTCCCAGGCAGTCTTTTAACCAGAGGTCATTTCGGTGGGGATCGCGGGGGATCGCAGTTCCCCCAGGTGAGGTACGGGGGGTGGGGCACATGACGAAGCCCCGCCCCCTGCTTCCGGCCACCCCGCTTCCGGCCCTCATTCAGCCAGGAGGAGGCAGGAGAAGAGGGAGGGTAAGTTGCTTCCTCCCTGGGGCCAGGGAGGGCCTTCGCGGGGCTTCTTTGCACTCCTGCTAGCCTTGGAGGTCCACCGCCGGGCCCCTCATGGAGCTGCAAGGCCGGCGGGGGCGGCCGGGACCGTTGGGGGCAGGGGGTGTGGCCTTATGACACACTTCTGGTGATGTCAGGGGGTGTGGCATATGCTAATGAGTTATGCTAATGAGTTCCCCTAGCTCTTTTTCTATGAAACGACCCCTGCTTTTAACTACTGATGCTGGGAGTTTAATTTGGGACCAGCTGGTTCCCCAGTGAGCCCCTGGCCTCTCCCCTTATTGCTAAAAACAGGCTCCTTGAATACACAACTTGGCCTTCTTCATTTTGCCAGTTGAAGATTCTTCACTCATGGCCTGTGGCTGATTTGCAAACCACACTCCTTCAGCATTTTTTTTTGTACTTTCCAACTGTATTATGCATCCCGTCGGGGAGGGGGCGGGAACTGCGTGACCTTCTGCAAACTAGCTAGTGGCACGTTCATTCCGAGCAGATGACTGAGAGCAGAAGACTGCTAGTTGAAACATGGTCTCCATGGAGACATGACGGTGGGGGAGACTTCACCCCCATGATTGAGGTGCCCGTGGATTATAAATATGGAAAGAGCTCTAAAAATGATACTGTATATCATGTACTCATTTGGCTCAAACTCTCTCACCGGTGGCTCATGCTGGCGAAAGGCTCCGGCATGCACAAACCCATATGTCCCTTCTCCGTGGTAGGTAACCAGACAGACGGGGATGGCCTTCGACTCCTCCCGCAACCCTGTATCTGCACGGCACCGCCATCCCATTGATACTGACTCAGAGGAGCTGGTAATTAATTAACATCAATGTCAAAAGGAACAGATTGTTCAAGATGGGTCTCTCATCTGTGCTCCCGGCTGCAGCTGGGTCCGAGGAAGCTTCCATACCAATTACAAAGCAACTTTCGAAAGCCCTATTTATAGCCGTCAGTGTTTCTGCTGGGGAAAGAGCAACATATCGGCTAATACTTCCTTAAAACGCTGGTAAATACAACACAGCCCTTTAATCAGCTCCTTTAGTAATGCAAGTTGAAAACACTTACTTGATGATGAGAATTACAGACATAGAAATAGCAGACGAGACCCTTCAGTGTCCTGTTTCGTAATATCCTGCAGGGGATTGGTACTTAAATCATACACCATTGCACAAAACAAGCCCAGATTTGTCCTTTCTGCATGGGCAAAATCTGCTGCTGTGTTTGCAACAGTACCTCTGATATTTGTTGATATTACAGGACCATGAAGTTTGAAACTTGTCAGCAGTTTTAAGGCCGCTCCTGATGTTCTCCCCATCCAAATGTTCTCCCCACCTTTTTGGCGTTATTGCTTTATATTCCCAGATTTTGAATCAAGAGTGCATGTTCATAGTTTGCCGCAAGTAAACTAACTCCTTTAGTTTACACGTACAAACCAACCATCACATCCTCCCCCATCTTCCATCCGCCCCCGCCTTTTGGCAAGGTGGTAACCTAGGGACCAGATGGTCGGAGCACGGCTGCCATGGGATGTTTGCCGTGGCTTTTCAGATCCTGCTCACTTGGTTGAGTCATCTGGAGCAATTGGCTCCGCAGGTACCTTTCCACAATACACCTGCTCTCCACTCGCATCATGCTGAGGTGTGGGTTGATTGGGGGTGGGCTGCCGGGGATGTGTGGATGGCCCAGCCGCCCATAAAAGGTAGTCGGGCTTCTTTTGACCTCTTCCAACTCACGTCAGCCATTTCAACAGGATCTGATTTCACAGGCAGGGCCTCTGCAGGCTCCTCCACAGTCGGAAGTGCCAACGATTAATAATTATAGAACTAAAGCAGTGTAGTCTGAGTTTTCTCGTAACCAGGACATAACTGAATGCAGGTTAAAATCTGAGATTTTTAAAAGGAGATTTGAGTCATTGGGAAACAGCGGTCTTCTTTCAGTTCTCTAACATTCTGCTTTTGACAGGGTAGCCAGAGAAGGGAAAACATGTTGTCGAAATAATAATGCTTTTCAGGACGATCCCTCTAAACAAGATAACTTTGTTTTGCCTCCCTCTAATTTTCCACACAGTTTAAGCCCTCGAGGATTTTTATTAGCTCCTTCAGCAATAAAGAGCTTAAGTACCTTCTTAACACTGGATTCCTTTGATTTTGTCGTCTTAGGTGTTTAATGAATATGCATGACTTTCCCATTGCAGGAAATCTCTTCTGGAAGACGCAGGAAAGTACTTTGATGAGCAGACCAGGGTCTTGGAAGTCCCAATGACTATAGTAGTTTCAGATCAGGTCAGTGGTATTCAGCTGCTGATCATGCTCACAAGTCTCCTATGCTAAGTCAGCCCGTTTGTTCTGTGGGCTCTTTCCTAAAACTGCTTCCTAAAATCCTTTAACTGGAGAGAGGCTCAGGCTTGAACCTGGAACCTTTTACATACAAAACGTGAATTGATTTGATTTGTTTATTTACCACCTTTCTGCCATTGCATTGAAGGTAGTTTACAACTCCAAACAACACCTACAACATGATGTAACACAAAAAGGAAAGGAGGAGAGAAAGGAAAGGAGGGGGAACAAGCAAATGTAGTCACTAGCTCCTTGATAATATATTGTCCAGACCCTGTTGATGGCCTGCTCATTGGTCACCCGGGATAGGGTTATGGACTTGCCCCCACCTGCTAGACCTATGGGCAGCGCAGCATCCTCCAAAGCTGGGGATGTTGGCTGGTGCTAACTGGCTGGGGAGACACTGGCACCTCTCAGCTGTTTGTCAGCCCCAGCAGGAGCAACCCAGGTGGCCACCTTGACCTTGGAAGCGGAAAGTAAGGCCGTCCTTTACACAAATGCAAGAGTTCCCTGTGGGGTGTGGACTCATAGAGAACTGTGGAAAGGTATATAAGTCCTTGCAGCCAACATGGTACAACGACAGAGAGCTGGGAGTACATAACAGAGCGGCTGTCAGACTGAGTTTTCCAGGACCTTGGAGAGCTCCTGGAAACAGTAGGAGTGGATGAAGCCTAGAACTCAGCCGAAGCCATTTAGTGTGTGATTATTGTAATCTTCTTGGTTGGAAGTAGTCAGGCATTGCAATTATTTGGCTCTTTGTACGATTTGGAAACTTCTAGAAGTGGGTATTCTCCACTTTCTACCGTTCCGAAATGTTGTACAAGGTGTCATACTCAGTTTGCTCAGGAGACAGGTGGGCATATACATATTTTTAAAAGAAAGTAAATTCAACTTTCCCCCCATTTATGTCATATCCCATCCTCTACATTACAGATTGGCGAATTTATATTGACAAAACTCTGCAACCCCCTCTACACAGTGTATCTATGTGGTTGTAGAAGGTAAAGGTTTCCCTTCCTCAAAAGCCAGTCAGATCTGACTCTAGGGGGTGTTGCTCATCTCCGTTTCCAAGCCAAAAAGTCAGCACTGTCCACAGACTTCTCCGTGGTCATGTGGCCGGCATGACTAAACACCAAGGCGCACGGAATCCTGTTACCGTCCCACCGAAGCGGTACCTATTTATCTACTTGCAATTTCTTTGCTTTTGAACTGCTAGGTTGGCAGGAGCTGGGGCCAGAGACGGGAGCTCACTCCGTCATGCGGCATTCAGGTCTCGAACTGCCAAACTACAGACCTTCCCATCTGCAGCTCAGCAACTTACCCTCTGAGCCACCTATCAAGATTGTCTGTGGTTTTTCTCCAGTGGGCCAGGAGTGCATGTGCATCTCACTAAAATACTGCACAACAAGAATCTTCGTGTAGTCATATGTACAATCATGACCTGTATTCCAGTTCCAGAGTTAATTTTACAGATTCTCCTGTTTAAACCAGAATTGAGGAGTGGAGTACAATGCTATCTGAAAGTCCGGGGCAGTAAAGGAACAGGAAGTACCCACTAACCCCAGATTCTGGGAAACAGGGACACTTGCAGAACTTAGAGGAGGGGGACCCACTGATACCTCCAGGGGCTCTCACGCTGGGCATCTCCGTTCTTGTTTCAGAGCAAGCCAGTTGAATTTACCGTCCACGCAGTCATCACCACCTCCGATCTGGAGATCAGTCCAACAGAGGTGGATTTTGGATACTGCTCCATCTATGAAGCAGTCCAGAGCACAATCACGCTCACAAACAAAGCTCTTCTGCCCCAGGAGTTTGGCTTTGTAGGGCTCCCAGAGGTATGCCACTGTTTCTTAGTTAATACTTGTATTTATTATTTATACAGAGCCTGAACATCTAGGGTTTGAGTTCCCGGCAAAATAAATGTTCCTTGAGAATTAAAACGTTCCCTGAGAACTAGCTGTAGAGGAGAGAATGAATTATGATTGGCATGGGTGTGTGTGTGTGAGAGAGAGAGTGTGTGTGTGTGAGAGAGAGAGCTGATCCCTGTGCAAATTTGTGTGCAGCTGCAACACAAGATCCAGAAGTGCTAAGCCAAAAATCATACAGTGGATATGGTTGCTTCTTAGGACCGTTCCACTCTGACATCTTCATTATCCTTCCAGTCCAGCATAAATAATGGTGTCAGGGGGAGAAACCCCAAAGGGCCACTTTGACTTGTAGCTTCAGCGACACATGCAGAACCTGTGGGTTCCTGGTTCGAGTCCCAATCGATCATGGCAATATATAGCCTGCTTTAAAAATAATTACATTAGCGACTATGCCTAGGGAAAGCTGAATTCTGCAACTTGTATACATTTGGCAGATAGAGCACAAATATGTCTGATTTCTCTGATGTTCCATAATGTATTCTGCATGTTTTTTTGCTGTTTTGCGTAATGTATTTAGCAGGGGATAAAAAAGGGAAAAGGGGGAAAAAACCTGAACCTAAAACCTAGAATTCAGAACCTAAAAGGGTTAGTCAAGAATAGAAGAGGGCCAACTCTAAAAATCTAATTATAAAACATACAAAAATATACATGTATTTATTAAACACAAATTAAAATAACAAATAAGGGCCCATTCATACCTCATATACAAATATAAAAATACAAAGGCTGATGAAACAGACCTAACGCGTTTTGGCCTTCACAGGCCTTCCTCAGAGGTCTAATTCAAATAGAACATATTGGCTAATATGTAAAAATATATACAATCAAACATATACAAAATATGAAATAAAGACCAGAAAACAATTGTTCCAAAGTTTAACCACTGGGCAGAAATACAAATGAACCCTCCAGTGCAATCACATGTCCCGTAGTACTTCTCTCTGGTCAACTATACATTCTCCTGAGATTGTATAGCCAAATGTTCCCAATGAAATATTCCTTAAGTTGACCCGACTATGCAGCCACAGCAGGACAAAGGGAACACCTGTTCTAGATTTGTGGGTTGGCCACGTGTTCCTTCCAGCTCTGCCGCCTTCCCTATATATGGTGCCTGTGTGATGTATCCCCTAACTCGTTCATTTTCTTTTTCCTTGTCCTGAAAAAGTTTGTAGAAATTCAGCCTGATGATGGATTTGGAACTCTCCTCCCCCTTGAAAGTTTGAACCTGGACATAATCTTCAAAGCCAACAAGGCAAAGGAATACAGCTTTGAGCTGACCTGCAAGACTGAGATCAATAGGTTGGTGCAGGGTTTCACGTCAATGGGGATCCTCACAATGAGGCGGGAGCTGAACTAGATTTCCCGAGCCCGTGTTTTCTCCCCATGCACAACGTGACTGCATCGGGATAAGAATTTACAGGAGAGGCATTTTGAAGAAAAAGATGAAGAGCAGGTTTTTATATCCCGCTTTTCTCTACCAGAAGGAGTCTCGAAACAGCTTACAATCACCTGCCCTTCCTCTCCCCACTACGGGCACCTTGTGAGGCAGGTGGGGCTGAGAGAGCTGAGAGAGATCTGAGACTGGCCCAAGGTCACCCAGTAGGCTTCATTGGGGGGAGGAGTGGGGAATCAAACCCAGTTCTCCAGATTAGAGGCAGACACTTTTAACCATTGCACCATTACTTCGGTGTGTGTGTGATAAACTCTTCTCCAACCTGTTAGTGTATTTGTTTAATGTATTTATTTAAGACATTTATGTGCTGCCCTTCAGTCCCAAAACTGGATTCTCAGGGTAGCTTACAAACACCACTTTAAGCATCACAGGAAATCAAATAATGCCCATAGAGGTGCCACACAGTCCAAAATGGGCGGGAGGAATCGTCTGCTGTTTGGGAAAGTAAGCAATGGGATACCAGGCTTATCGTAAGACCACTCTCAGGTCTTGGCAAGGGGCTGACTTTGCGCTGTGACCGTTTCTGCTGCATTCCATTTTTAGACAGTTCAAGCTGTCGTGCAAAGCCATCGGCGTCCACCCTCCTCTGGAGCTCTCCCATTCCTTGGTTCAGTTTGCCGCCACCGCTCTCAATGATGTGTCGACAGCCACCCTCTTTGTGATCAATAACCACGTGAGCCTCAATCAGTTCACCCACGCCGTCCCAAGGATCGGCAAGGGAGACGTCGCCCCCGTCGGGCCCACCTCCTTCCAGTTTGTCATCCCCGAAGATTCTCCTGTCACGATCATGCCGTGTGTTGGAACGGTTCTGCCTGGGAAGGTAAATTCTCTGGGTGCAGGTTGAAGATCCAGAAGGCAAGTGACAAAATCCTTTGGTAACCTCTGTCCTCCTGAAGAATTGCAGCATGTATCATTTAGCCCATTCTACCTCCCTACTGAGAATAAACATTTTAAAAGAACAAGAACTTTGTTGGACTAGACCAGGGGTCCCCAGCCAAAGGGCACCTTTAGAGTTCTGATAGAAATGTGGGCGCAGCCAGAAAATGCCTCCCAGAAAATGGCTGCCACAGAGGGCAGAGTCAGCCACAAAATGGCTGCCGGAGCTTATCATTCGTCACATATTTATTATTTATTATTTATTTATTTATTATCTTCACATAGTGAATTATCACATATTATCATCTTCACATAGTGAATTCCGTACAGGGATAGACTTTGTAACTGTAATCTTGGGGAACCTGACTCTATTACCCATATCCTTCTCCGCTGTCCCAAATACTCCGTTATGCGCAATATCTTGATTCGCCCTTTTCTCCCTTCGCAGAGTGATTTTCTGGACAGGGATTTAAATTTTTTTTTAGCAGACAAGAGCCCAGCAATAACACTATCTGTCGCTGAATTTTTGACCTACGTATGGAAGTCAAGAGTAATACTCTGTAATTCTTGTAAATCATGTTAGGATTGTCTTGTATTTTGGAATATCGGGAATATTGGTTGATGTTGTTCTTGTACTACCCCTTAAACTTTTCCTTGCCTGGTTTACTTATGTTAAGCCAATAAAGGTTTCTGTTCTGTTCTGAATTATCTTCACATAGTGAAGATCTTTGTGTTGTGGTGGTAGCTGCTGCCAAGGCAACGTTTTAAAAAAACCTGCACAGTCAACCAAATCTCCAACAACAGCCAGTTAGTAGCCTTGCTGGACAAAAGTCCCACCTGATCCCGCCATCTTTCTAAAAACACTTGGTGGGCACCATGTTGGGGGTTTTTTGGATTATACTAAATATCCATTTAGTTTGGCATCCTGTTCTTCACAGTGGCGAACCAGTTGTCCCTAGGAAGACCATGAGCAGTGCACAAAGACAAGACCCTTCCCCTACCGTTTTCCTTCAGCAACGAGTAATAGGTCCACTGCCTTGAGGCATGGAGGCTCCATTTAGCTGCTTGATGAGTTTAACTCTTCTTCCCAATGAATCCCGGGATTTTTAGGATGGTGAGGCTTTCTGAGCATTCTGTGAGTATTTGTAGCTCTCCCCCCTTACAGAACTACTGTGCTCAGAGTTAAGAACATAAGAGCCTTCCTTGCAGGGTCAGATCAGAAACCCACTGTCCTGCTTTCCAGAGTGAGAGGCTTCTAGGAAGCCACCAAGGAGGGCATGAAGGATTTGCTTCATCCCTTTTAAACCCACCCTTCAAAACTGGCAACGGTCACTGCATTAGGTAGTAGTGAATCCCATAAGCTAAATGTGGGGGGAACTGACTGGTGCCCTTTCTGCCTTCTCACTCTCTTTTGGTCTCCGGTTCATGTTCAATCCCAGAAGTCCTTGGTGGAAGTGTCCTTCCGCCCAGTGTTGAGCGAACAGATGATCAGGCAAGAGGCAGTCGAAATGGCACGCCGGGCTGCAGAAATGAAGGAGAAGAAGGCCCGGGAGCTGGAACTGCAGGTATGTATGTGTGTGTATAAGAGACTAATCTGTGCTTCTTGCTCTTTGCATATTGCTAAGATGCACATGGTGACTGGACAGCTTTAGGAGGAGCAGAATCCAGGGAAATGTGAACAGTGGGGGATTTCCGTAGAGCCGTTCGGCCCTCATGAGGTCTACGCCCATGCCCCTTTAGCGGAAGTGTCAGGCTATGAAATGATAGGCACAGTGGCCCATGCAAGCCATTCAGCTGGGATAGGAGGTTGCACCAGCTGACATTGGCCGGAATGGGTAGAAGTATGCAAATGTACTTGGGAGCCTTGGCCAATCACAGAACGTGTACTAGACTGGCACCCCATTGAGGAAGCAAGAAGAAGATTGGTTGTTCCTGATTATTGCATTCAGCTCTATTATATTTCTTGTAAATTCGTGTTTATGGATCACAGTATGAGAATCTGGTGCAGCCGCTGTTCAGTGGAGCAACCATTTTCGGATGATCACAAAGTCCTTTCTACAGTGACTTTTCCCAGTGGGAATCCCGGCGCACCCGCCACATCACCCCTTCTGCGACAGAAGGGTCGAGGCCACATTCTCAGTTTATTTGGAGCACTGGCTAAACCTGCTGGGCTGCACATGAGCACTCAAAGAAGCCTTATACTGAAACTTGTGCGTGTGGTTTGGTTTTGCCTTCAAATCGCAGCCAACTCGTGGCTACCCCATGGGGATTTTAAGGCAAGAGAGGAGCAGAGATGGTTTCCCACTGCCTGCCTCTCTGCGTCATGACCCTGGACTTCCCTGGTGGCCTCCAGTGCTCCCTCTAAGCCGAGTCAGTGTGAGCTAGCTCACAGTTTTTAAGCCTCCAGCTCACACGCTTTTGTCTTTGCTCGGGAAGGAGGGTTCCAGAGCAAACTAATGCATGCAGTAGCCAAATCGCTCGCTCACAGCTTTAATGCCAGTCGCTCACAAAGTAGAATGTTGGCACACAAGACTCCACCGCTTAGAGGGAACATTGGTGGCCTCCCATCCAAGTACTAACCAGGGCCGACCCTGCTTAGCTTCTGAGATCTGACGAGATTGGGCCAGCCAGGGCCATCCGGGTCAGGGCAATGCACCCTATTGCCCAGGATAATCTACTGGTGTCAGATTCAGAAAGTGCTTCTCAGCACCTGGCCCTGAGATCCTTCAGCTGGAGATGCCAGGAGACTGAACCTGGGTGCTTCTGCTGTGTGACTGAACCTCTCCCAAGGAATAGCGGCAGAGGCATCGCAGGCCACCTGGCTCTCCAGGGTCTCGAGCAGAGAACGGGTCTCTTTCGACACTCTAGAATCTTTGGCTGGAGATGGACCTGGGGCTTTCTGGAGGCCAAGCAGGGGATCTCCCACTGAGCTTATGTAGCTGCCTTATGCAAACTTGGAGCTGCGGTGGCTCAAGTGGTTAAGACGCTGAACTGCGGGCTGTGGAAGGTCGGTAGTTCAGCAGTTCGAGACCCGAGTGTGCCGCATGACGGAGTGAGCTCCCGTCTCTAGTTCCAGCTCCTGCCAACCTAGCAAGTCGAAAGCAAGCAATTGCAAGTAGATAAATAGGGACCGCTTTGGTGGGAAGGTAACAGCATTCCGTGCACCTTGGTGTTTAGTCATGCCAGCCACATGACCACGGAAACGTCTTTGGACAGCGCTGGCTCTTCGGCTTTGAAACGGAGATGAGCACCGCAACCCTAGAGTCGGATTCGACTTGCTGTCGAGCAAGGGAACCTTTACCTTTACCTATGCAAACTTGGGCCCGTTTGCCCTAGTCGTGTCCCTTCCTAGCAGCATCAACTCTCTAGGGAATCAGACAGATGAAGGTTTTTCACGACACCTCCTTCTAACTGGAGACACCAGGGACTGAACCTGGGACCTTCTGCGTGCAAACCACATGCCCTGCCTCTGAGCCACAGATAGCGCCTTGGTTATGGAGAGTGAGAGAACACCCTCCTTCTCCCTCTCTCTTCCTTTTGCATGGATTTCCCTCTCTCTGCCACTTTCCCCAGCTGTAGCCTTTCCTTACCTCACTTGCAAGCAGGCCCCAACTCACGAGCAGGCGGCGGGGTGTCTTTCTGAGTCAAAGGAACAAGCCAAGGGCAACATCAAACACCACCGGCTCCAGGAGAGGGTCACTGCTTCTCCTGCGGCCCCCTTTCTGCTCAGCCCCCCCCCCCCGACTTATTTATCTCTCCTCCTGATGCAGGATTTCTGGGGGCTTTGGCACGTGAGCGGCCCCTAGAGCCCTGCAACTATCCGAACGTTTTGCTTCCCTCTCCCCTTCCACTTTTCACAACAGAGGAAGAAGGAGGAGTCCCTGGCTGGACGGAGGAGACTGGGAAGTGGCTCCTTCCTGGGCCAGTTCTCGAGGGACAAATACAGCAAGCAGGCCCTGAAGGTGTCAGAGGTGCCCGAACCGGAAAACATTCTGCTAAAGTGAGCCTCTTTTCTAGTTCATTCATTTGCTGCACGTGCCAGCGTTCAGGGCTCTTTTTGTAGAAAAAGCCCAGCAGGAACTCATTAGCATAATAGGCCATACCCAACAGCAGGAACTCATTAGTATATTAGGCCACACCCCTGACAGCACAGCTCATTTGCATATTAGGCCACACCCCCATGTTACCAGAAGTGTGCTCATCCAGCCACACCCACCTTTTGATTCTTATTCTCTTTACCTTGTTTGTTGACAAAACCCAGGGCTTTGTTTTGGAGCAGGAACTCCTTTGCATGTTAGGCCACACACCCCTAATTGTAGCCAATCCTAATGAGTCTCTGCTGTTGGGTGTGGCCTATTATGCTAATGAGTTCCTGCTGGGCGTGGCCAACTTGGGTGCCAGCCGGAACTCCGTTCCTGCGCGTTCATTCCTGCCCAAAAATAGCCCTGCCAGCGTTGATGAATCTCCGCAGCCAGGAGCACCGCTGTATTATTGATAGAGCGCCAGCCACAATAGGGGTGAGGTACAACCGGTAAGGAAGAAAGGCTCTGGGCCAGCAAGGAGGAGGGAACAGGACCACAGAAAGCTGAAACTGAAGCAGGTCCAGGACTGCTCAGTGGCCAGACAGGAGACTTCAGGAATCCTGCGTGTGCCGCCGCTGCTGTTCCATGATGGAAGATGCCGTGCATAAAAATAAAGATCTCAGAATAGTAACAGCTGCTTTATGGCACATAGACCATTAATGGCAAGTCCCCTGGGTTCGAAAGATCCAAAGCAACACATTGATTTGGGTCCAGGAACTTAGGGTCTGGCTGCGTACCGCGCTCATTGCTTATAGCCACGTGAAAGCCAAGTTCTGACTTGATAATTCTGGCGACTTCTCTGGGAGAGAAGCAGAGATCACTGGACAAGACCATGGAGTCCCTGGATGCCTTTCTTCCCTGTTTTCTATGCTTACGTCTTGTTTAGCAGCTCATTTTCCTGAGTGGTTGAGAAAGAGCAGAGAGACCATTTGGTCCTAAGGAGAGATGATAAACATAGGAAAGCAACTAGGAATACCAGCCTCCAGTGAGACCTGGGGATCACCCAAAACTACAGCTCCCCTCCAGACTACAAAGATCAGTTCCCCCGGAGAAATTGGGTGCTATGGAGGGTGGGCTCTCTGGCATTGCCCCCCACTGAGGCCCCTGTCCTCCCCAGGCTCCATCCCCAAATCTACAGGAGTTTCCCAGCCTGGAGCTGGCAGCCCCGTCCCCCATCACCAAAGCAGGGGGGATCTGGCAGTGCAAAGAGCAACGGGCTTGAGGGAAGGTGGCCTCCAGTTTTCTGTGCCTGTCTCCAGGAGAGGCTCCTGAATCCTCAGGAGTCAGCAACTGGCTTACACGAGGCTACCAAACTCAGACTCCAGTGCAGATTCTTAAGAACAGACGTGATGCCGATGCACAAAGACCAGTCCGATCGAGAGTCAGGATGCCTCGTCCTGCACCAGTCTGTTTCTGAGCGCTTTTCAAAGGCAGCCCCGTATAGTGACCGTTGCAGGTTGACCCGGGGACCCAGGTAGGCTGCCCCCACTGGATCAGTTTCACGCAAGAGGCATCCGTTTCGCAACAATTCCAGATTCGCAAGAGCCACTAGAGACAGGGAACGCATGGTTTTGTTGAACAGGCAACCTTATTAGTCCTGACAAGAACCAGAAAGTTCACGCCATCCATTCAATACCCCGAGGGCCTGTCCACATGTTATTTCTTCTGATCTGCAGTTCTGTCTGTAGGCTCACGGCAAGCAGAGACTGCTTTGAAGCCCCTGCAGCTTAGAAAAGGGGGGATTTGTGGCTCATGATTAAACCGTGAAAAGATGTGGCCGGGATCTCTTTGAGCCGGCATCTTTTGATAAACAGTCCAATACTGGGGACTTCAACTGTTTGTCCCTACATGTCATTATGTACTAAAGCTTCTAAACGTTTGTACCATGTAGATGAATAGAAAGCCAGCCATCGCCACCCACACGCGCCCTTATGGCTATGCAAGAAGTGAGGCGCAAAAGAAAAAAAGTCCTCTCTTAATGCCCTCTTAGGGCTAATATATAGGAGACAAAAAAATAAGCCGATGTAGGAGTGTCGTGAAGGAGATTTTCTGCTTGGCAGGCCTAATGCTAGCCTTTTGCAAAGTGTCGAAATGCATCCCTGCCTTCACCTTCCAATGAAGAAGTTCAGTGCAGGACAATAACAGGTCAACAACCTGTTTCCCATAATGCTCACCCAAGTGCTACTGAGCTCTCAGAGACAGGCTATGAACTCAGTGGCCCTTCCTGGTTGGATCCTCCCACCGCCAAAGCATAAGAATAGCCCTGTTGGATCGAACTCAAGTTTCATTGTCCAGTATCTAGTTTCCAACAGTGGCCAGCCAGATCCCTCCAGAAAGCTTACGAACAGCCTGTGTAAGTTTTTTTTTTTTTTTAGGCCATCTCAGTAGGATTGTATCCCTCACTATGGGAAACTCTTGAGTCTTGACAGTTGACTGACCTGTTACCGATGTGACTAGAGCATAGAGGATTTCTCCCATTCCATGCCTTGATTGTGCTGGAATTTTGCTCCTTGATTCCAGTTTAACAAGGAGGGTTTGTAACATTAATCCCAACGGGGAATACACATTTTGGTACAGATCCTACTTCCTTCCATTAATTAGTATGTTTTCCACTCTCTGGGTTCTTTTGCATTCTTGTTTTCATTGCTTGTGCATCTCTATTGCTTTGGTTTATCTTTTTTTTGTTCACTCATGTTTTGCTCCCTCTAGTGGTCAATGTGACATTACAGCTTTGTACGTCTGGGAAAAAATCCTGCCACTTAAATCTGCAGGGAGAGATGCTGGACATAGAGTGATGCAGGGCTACTTTTGGGCAGGAACGCACAGGAACGGAGTTCCGGCTGGCTCCTGAGTTGGCCACACCCAGCAGGAACTCATTAGCATCATAGGTCACACCCAACAGCAGAAACTCATTAGGATTGGCTACATTAGGGGTGTGTGGCCTAACATGCAAAGGAGTTCCTGCTACAAAAAAGCCCTGGGTATTGAAAACAAAGTAAACAGAATAAGAAGCAAAAGGTGGGTGTGGCTGGATGAGCACACTTCTGGTAACATGGGGGTGTGGCCTAATATGCCAATGAGCTGTGCTGTCAGGGGTGTGGCCTAATATGCTAATGAGTTCCTGCTGGGCTTTTTCTACAAAAAAAGCCCTGGAGTGATGTAATACTGAACTGACCACTAGAAGGAGCAAAATGTGTGTGGAAAAGAAAAAAAAAACCCCAAAGCAGTAGGGACACACAAGCAAGGAAAAGGAGAATGCAGAAGGGCCCTCTGTTACCAAGCTGCATGCGTGCATTGATAAAACACTGCAAAAGAGCAACTAGGTGCGGTCATACGTATGATTGCTTCCAGTTTCTTTTTTGTACAGTGTTTTACTGATGAGCACATGCAGTCCTTCAAGTTAGTAAAGCACCACACCAAAGGGATCTTGATACAATTGTACATACATGTGCCAAGACTGCTTTTTGGCAGTGTTCTAGCAGTTCACATGAGTCACGTGGAGGAGGCAGGAAGGCGTGAATGAATGTACAGGCTGAAATATGTGGCCGAGCGCATATAGTGCCCTGTACAAAATTCAGGAATAAAAATGGAACGATGGAGGACCCTTAGTGTAACTTCCAGTTCAGAAACAAGACCGATCCGTTTAGAAATCCTTTAAGAGGGGAAGCGTGGCAATTTGGACGAGGAATGTCCCAGGAGCCCTCTGAAATGGTGGTGGAAGGTGCTGTCAAGGTGCGACTGACTTATGGCCACCCCATAGGATTTCCAAGGCAAGAGCTGTTCAGAGGTGGTTTGCCATGGCCTGCCTCTGCACAGGGACCCTGGACCTCTTTGGTGGTCTCTAGAGATGTGAAGGCCCGGAAAAAACCCGGAAAAATTCGGGGGGAAACTGGTTTTTTCCCGTTTTTTTCCTGAAGCCTTTTTTGTTTTTTCCCGAAAAATTGAAAAAAGAAAAGAAAAAAATTGATTATGGAACGTTTTATTTTAACATGATGAATAAATATTTTCCAAATCATTTCTGAAATATATATATATATGGTATCAGATTGATGTAATTTCTGTGCACTGAGGACAAGCAAGTCCTAGGTTACAAACTGAACTCTCCAATGCAAGAACAAGAGGCATTTCTTCCTTTAGGAGGTGCGATTGTCAGAAGAAAATTAAAAAGTTTCAGTTTTGTTTTTGCATGTGGGTGGGCATTCTGTAATAATTGTTTGGATACACTATATTTTTAATATGCTAGTTGTGATAATTTCATGCCAAGTAAAAATGTCCATAGTCATATTTTATGTTCCTAAAGTAACAGAATGACTTTCAATCTAGAGAAGACAAAAGAAATGCTAATGTAGCATTTTTTTCAATTTTTCCGAAAATTTCCGTTTTTTTCCGAGCTTCAAAATTTCTGGAAATTTTACATCTCTAGTGGTCTCCTTGTCCAAATACCAATCAGGGCAAACTCTGCTTCGCTTCTAAGAGCTGACAAGATTGGGCTAGCCCGGACCGTCCTAAATAGGACATGCGAAATGGCTCGCTTCTCACGGTGGACGTGTTCTTTTGCCTCCCAAGTTCTGAAGAATACATCGCAGCTCATTTGGCGCTGATTCGGAATTTCACTGATCGATTTGAGAGATTTATTGTACCCTGCCTGGTCGCAAGCGGTGCTATAGATGAGAAGAAAGAACCCGAAAACTTGCAGTACAGGTACAGGTGACGGGGCGGGAGGGAGGGAGGTCACGTCTGCCCGTCTAGTTATTGCATTTTTGTCCTGCCTTTCCTCCGTGGAGCTTCCGGTGGTGTGCCCCATTCTCCCTTTTCCATTTTTTTTTATTCTCACAACAAGCCTGTGAAGTAGATCAGGCTGAGAAATTGAGACAGGATCACGGTTCCCCCCAGGGACCTTTCATTGCAGCGTGGAGACCTGATTCTTTTTTAAAAATAGAATTGGGTGGGAGTTAAACGTAGTAGGGGAGAGAAAGCGGGAGCACAGAGACAAGATGTGTCTCCTCTTCATAACTGTCTGATTATTTAAAAAGGTGAATTGGCTAACACAGCTGCCCTGAGTGGAGTCACACCCTTCAGAGCCCATTGCCTTAGAAGAGCGTAACTTTGTTCAGCATTGCACTGTGAGCATCCGAACTGCGAACCGGGAGGGCTGTGATTTGAACCTCAAGTCTTCCAAAGGACTCATTTGGTAGCCTTGAACTAACTATTTTTTGTTCCAATCACAGTATCATCAGCAATCCATGTCTGTGAGATGCTTTGAACACACAGTGTTCAATATACAAATATATAGAGAGAGTTTCATTGTCCTTCCGTGGCACCCTCTTTGTGGTTGATTTCAATATATATAAATCAGTGAACTCACTGAGGAGATAATATTTATATTTATTTATTTATTTATTTAGAAGCAAGCTACGCTGGTGGCATCAAAGTCAGAACAATATTGGCTTTACTCCAAAACTGAAACCACCAAATAACTGTGTTTCCACCCCTGCTCCCCAGTCATTCTTTCACATTCTTGATTTGAGTCCAGTAGCACCTTTTTAAAATGTATTTATTTACATTATTTATAGTCCACCTTTCTCACTGGGACTCAAGGCAGATTACACCTTAGAGACCGGGGGGGGGGGATTTTTTTTGGGGGGGGGGGAAGGGTAAATAAGCTTTCAAGAGCCAAAGCTGCCTTTAACATTCTTGAGATCAGGGCGTTTTTTGTAGAAAACCCCCAGCAGGAACTCATTAGCATAACTGGCCATACCCAACAGCAGAAACGTATTAGCATATTAGGCCACACCCCTGACAGCACAGCTCATTGGCATATTAGGCCACACCCCCGTGTTACCAGAAGTGTGCTCATCCAGCCACACCCACCTTTTGCTTCTTATTCTGTTTACCTTGTTTGTTGTCAAAACCCAGGGCTTTTTTTGTAGCAGGAACTCCTTTGCATGTTAGGCCACACACCCCCAATGTAGCCAATCCTAATGAGTTCCTGCTGTTGGGTGTGGCCTATTATGCTAATGAGTTCCTGCTGGGCGTAGCCAACTCAGGAGCCAGCCGGAACTCCGTTCCTGTGCGTTCCTGCCCAAAAATAGCCCTGCTTGAGATCCGAAAAGGACCATTAGAGTGTCTCCCCTTTTATGTGTCTTGAACAAAAGTACATTTCCTGTTCCTGGAACAAGCACTCCAGTGGTAGCGGTGGCAGTGTTGTTGGTTTTTGGGGGGAGGGGTTGTGGTTATTGTAGTTATTATTATTATTACTAATATTTAATTTTGCACCCACAGTCCGTATAATACCTTGTACCTAGAGCTTCATTGTCCTTCCGTGGCGCCCTCTCTGCTGTTGCTTTCGAACAATGGGAGAAGCACCATCAACTTTGGCTGCATTGCTGTGGGTAGGAGACTTTTGGCAAGCAGGCTGTAGATCCTTATAAGCCTGGTTATTTTACGGGTTTCAGATTGGCATTTTAGGCCCTTCTCTTCATAGGTAGCTTTCTAAAGGAGGGTGTAAACCTAATACCTATCAAGTCCTTCCCCCCCCCCACAAGGGACTTTCCCTGTGGGTTGGTACGCTCATAATGTTCAAGCAAGGGGGAGTTGGCTGCTGGAATCTACATTGGCCCCAGGCTAATCAGAATTCATTCTCAGCCCAGGTCTGACACTTCATAAGAACATAAGAGAAGCCATGGTGGATCAAGCCAATGGTCCATCCAGTCCCACACTCTGTGTCACACAGTGGCCAAAACCCAGGGGCCATCAGGAGGTCCACCAGCGGGGCCGGAACTCCAGAAGCCATCCCACTCTTGCCCCCCAAGCACCAAGAATACCGAGCATCACTTCCCCAGACAGAGTCTTCCATCTGTACTTTGTGGCTGATAACCACTGATGGACCTGTGCTCCATCGGTTTATATCCAAATCCCCTCTTGAAGCTGTCTAGGCTCGTAGCTGCCACCACTTCCTGCGGCACTGAATCCAATGTGTTAATGACTCTTTGGGTGAACACGTACTTCCTTTTATTTGTTCTAAGCCTACTGCTCATTCTAAGAATCCTGGTTAAGAAGGAGCATTTGCTATTCTTAAGCACAGCCAAAGTCAGCCAGTGGAGAAGGAGATTTTTAGAGGGGGAAAGGCAGGTGTTGGGCTCACAGTCTCAACCCCTCTTCAAGCTGCATGTGGCTTTAACCATGTTCTTATAAATATGAGTCCCCGTGTTAACGGCGAAGGGCAGACAAGTCAAGATGCCATGTCTGGTTGACAACATGGGATCGCATTTGCCAGGACACTCTGTCTGCGGCTCTTGGAAGATCCTCATTCCTCCCGCTCAGTTCCTCTTCTACGTCAGTGTTGGGTTTCATGTCCCAAACACAGCAGCAAACGTGAATGTGTGCAGAGTGTAAAGTTCTCTGCACATCCCCTCTAGAGCATAGGACAAGTGTAGGCCAGTGGGGAGGGGGGAGAACAGGGTAAAATGTGTTGGGGGGGTTATGCCATACTCAGGACAGTTCATTTTTGGACCGTTCTTACGTGGGCTTTTTTTTTATATGGACACTCTGAAAATGTGAAACTCTTTCGTCCATCAGGGCACAGAGTTATGAAAGAACTCAAGATACAGAACATTTCCCAAGAACAACTACCTGTATCTTTTGCCAAATCATTTCTTCCTTTCCCTTCCCCGTCCCCCAAAATCACTTGCTGCTTGGTAGGTCTTTACAGCCACAATGTCAGGATTCTTAAGAGATCTTCACAAGTTCACAGTCTAATTAGGAAATAAGGATTTCAGAATGAAATAATGTGGTATGCACACACACACCCCATTACGTTCAACTGCCATGGCTTCCCCTGAAGAATCCAGGAAACTGTAGTTCGGTGGAGGGTACCAAGAATTCCCAGATATCCAGAATTCTCCTGTCCCATGCAGAACTAGTTTTCCAGGGAATGCAGAGGGAATGACAATTCCATCAGTTTATGTCTGCAGTATGAATACATCCATGAGGTATGTTCTCAAGGTAATTTCAGCACCTTCTGCTTCACGCATGGTGAGCTCAGTCATAGAAGTTTGGTGAAAGAAGATGACCAGATTTTTGTAAAGGACTTTGTCACTCAGTAACCATCTCGCCCAGCAGTTAGTGAATACCCAGCTCAAACCAGCCCAGTGAAATACAGGTGTCACCTATATGGAAGGGCCAAGGACAGATACCTTTACAGACCGAAATGCCCGAGAGAAAGTCCCATTCCTTTCTACACTCTACAAGCTGTAACTGTCTCTAGGTAACAGATTGTCAAAGCGGCTTCCTTTTTTGGGAAACGGTTGCTTTGGTTACCATTAAACTTGCATTTCCTTAAAGTGGTACTTCCCAGCTGGGATATTCCCTCTTGAGTCCCTTTGGACCCTTCTGGTTGTTGAATCCCGTTCGTATGCTTGAGGAAGGAGAATCCCGAGAGCTCAGCATCTCGTTCTGTCCAGAGGAAAGCAGAGCGGTGAGAACGTTAATTAATTTTATTTCCCCCCCATCCTTTGAGGTGGCACACTGGGGTTCCCCACCCGCCATTTTTTAAGGACCACTGAGCTTATGCAGCTGCCTTATGCAAACTTGGAGCTGTGGTGGCTCAAGTGGTTAAGATGCTGAACTGCAGGCTGTGGAAGGTCGGTAGTCCAGCAGTTCGAGACCCGAGTGTGCCGCACGACAGAGTGAGCTCCCGTCTCTAGTTCCAGCTCCTGCCAACCTAGCAGTTCGAAAGCAAGAAATTGCAAGTCAATAAATAGGTCCCACTTCGGTGGGAAGGTAACAGCCTTCCATGCGCCTTGGTGTTTAGTCATGCCGGGCACATGACCACGGAAGTGTCTTCCGACAGCGCTGGCTCTTCGGCTTTGAAACGGAGATGAGCACCGCAACCCTAGAGTCGGATTCGGCTGGCTTTTGAGCAAGGGAACCTTTTCCTTTACCTTACATGGGATATTAAAGGGGAAGTGCTTGCTCACGTAACTGTTCCATGTGCTTCTTCATCACGGTAAGTGTAAGCATACCAGCAGCATGTCTCCCCATTGGCAGGTGTGTTGACAATGGATGTACATGGGCCAGCATGCAAAGGTGCTTAAACATGATGGGGGGGCACATGACATTGCTGTACAAATGAGCTGTCTTTCATGTGCCCAGGGGCAGGCAGACGTTCTCACAAGCACAGGCAAGGCAGGCAAGCGTCAAGCCAAGACACTGTCAGAGCTGTTGAGCCCACAACAGGCAGAGCTGGACTGAGACTATGTATAGGAATCAGTGCCTGCTGACATCAACGGCTAGACCTTATCCCGCATTCTGCAAAGCCTCACAGGGGCTTCTAGTACCTTGTGAGCAGAGGAACGGCCCTGGGCAGCCAACCAGGTGCTCCACCCTTTGAACTGAGCTTAGCTTCCACTTGGGCTTTCTGCTTCTTGAGCTCCTGGAGCTGACTGTGAGGTCCCTGGCAATAGGCCAGTCTTCTAAGCAGCCCCAGTTTCTGACTCCTGCTCCTGCTCAGGGGCCATCTGGGCTTTTAGTCTGATAGATCCTGGGAGTCAAAGGGCCTGGGAACCACAGGGTCTGCCAGAGTTTCGACCTCTGAAATATCAAAAAAGGCCTGCAGCCAAGCCCCCACACTGTGCTAAGGCAGCCTAGACGAATGTCGTTTCTCCCTTTCCACGCGTCCTTCCCGACAAACACAAAGCTCTTTCTTCATAGTTCTGTGAAATGCTGGGAATCCGAAGCCAGAAAGCGACCCTCTCCATCACTTTGATCGGCGAGGGAGTGATCCCTTCGATCCTTTGCTCGGTGGAAGGAGACGTCTTCAACCTGGGCCATGTCGTCGCCAAGGAAACGGCCATTTCCACCTTTAAGGTACATCTCAGCACACCTTTGCTTTCAGGGGACAGCACAACTTCCTTAATACTTTTCAAAACTGTGAGTTGTCCCTTGGGAACATGCACTTCTGCTCATTCTCCTGAGTCATTGGAAGTCCAAAATTTGCTTGATCTTTGCTGGCACGGAAATCTCACTGCAAGGTGACCAACTCCTATAATTCTTCTGAGCTTCCTTTATAAGCGTGCCCAGGGCTATTTTGGGGCAGGAACGCACAGGAAAGGAGTTCCGGCTGGCTCCCAAGTTGGCCACGCCCAGCAGGAACTCATTAGCATAATAGGTTACACCCAACAGCAGAAACTCATTAGGATTGGCTGCATTAGGGGTGTGTGGCCTAACATGCAAAGGAGTTCCTGCTATAAAAAAGCCCTCCGTTTTGACGACAAACAAGATAAACAAAATAAGAAGCAAAAGGTGAGTGTGGCTGGATGACCACACTTCTGGTAACATAGGGGTGCGGCCTAATGTGCTAATGAGCTGTGCTGTCAGGGGTGTGGCCTAATATGCTAATGAGTTTCTGCTGTTGGGTGTGGCCTATTATGCTAATGAGTTCCTGCTGGGCTTTTTCTACAAAAAGAGCCCTGAGCGTGCAGGGGTTCACGATCTTGGGAAAGGACCCATGGATAAGGATAATGGAAAGGACCCGTGGATAAGGATGGCACAGCTCTGACCCTGCCTCGGTTTCTTTTGCAGATAGAGAATACGTCCTCCATAGCCCTGAAATTCTCCATCCTTCTCGAGTCTCTCTCACCAAATCGGGACAAAGAGCAGCAGAAGCTTCCCACTTTCCTCTCATCTCCAGGGAAAACGGATTTAGTGGGTAAAAATAGTTGTTCTCAGTGTTTTCAGTATGAAAGTGTTGGTAGACCTCCCTGACCAACAAGCATCAGGTATGGTGGTGCCTTAGACCGAGTGAGACCATCGGGTCTGTCTAGTTTGGTATTGTGGACTCTGGCTGCCAGCAGCTCACTAGCACTGCGCTCCTAAGCCAACTGAGGCCTTTCCAAGCCCATTGAAGTCAATGGGCTGAAGAGGGTAACTCTACCTGGGATTACACCGTCAGTTCTCAGGCCAAAAAGTCATTTTGTAGAAAAAGAGGTGCAGGAGCTCATTAGCATAACTCATTAGCATAACTCATTTGCATATGCCACACCCCCTGACATCACTGGAAGTGTGTCAGAAGGCAACACCCACCGCTCAGGCTCCACTGGACTGTTTTGGATTGCTAGCTGGGGGGGGGGAGGTGCAGATCTGTCCTGGCAGAGGAGGGAGAGCTTGTACCTGAATAAAACTTGGTCTTAAAGCTGCCACTGGAAAGTTTTGGACCGTGGGGCGGGGGAGCTCTGCAACTTACCTGGCTGCTTCTTGCTCTGACTGAGGGCTGCTGGGAGTACGGGGTGGGGATTGTTGCATATGCCCGCCCCCTGGGCTCTTTACTGCCGGAGCTCTGCTCCTGTGCGCTCCCGCAGGAAACGACCCCTGCCAACACCACACATTGAACCTCATACCTTGTGGATGCAAAGACACGTGCTCAGTTGCCGAAGCCCGGCCCCTTTTCCTACCTGTCTTACACAGAATTAGATTATTGGTCCGTGGAGCTCTGACTGCTATTGGCCCTACACCCGAACCTGCCATCCTTTAACTGCGATTGGATCACTGGTCCGTCTAACCCAGTATTGTCTGTTTTGACTGGCAACAGCTCTCGCCCGGCCCTGTTCCAAAGCAGCCATTTCTCAAGAAGAATCGATCTCTGTGACCAGGAGACCAGTTGTAGTTCCATGAGGTCTCCAGCTACCCCCTGGGGACTGGCCACCCTAGCCACACAGGAGGTGTCTGACCTTACTGCCTGGGTTCATGCCGCTACCTGCCAGGGTGAGCCCAAGAGGAGACAAGTCTAGTCTCCTTTTCTTGGGACAATGAAATAACTTTATCTACTTTACAACATTTGTATCCTGCCTTTCTGTCCTCACATGAGCCACCAAGGCGGCTAAAACATATGTGATAAAAATGCATTTTAAAACCATTAAGAGAAGAAGAAGAAGAAGAGAAGAAATTGGATTTATACCCCGCCCTTCACTCGGAGTCTCAGAGCGGCTTACAATCTCCTTCCCCTTCCCCTCCCCACGACTGACACCCTGTGAGGCAGGTGGGGCGGAGAGAGCTCTCTTGAGAACTGCCCTTGAGAGAACAGCCCTGAAAGAACTTGTGACTGACCCAAGGTCATCCAGCAGCTGCACGTGAAGGAGTGGGGACTCGAACCCGGTTCTCCCAGATTAGAGTCTGCCCATGTAACCACTACACCAACATCACCTCACCCCCCCAAAGCCCACACATCATTAAAGCAATTACAAACAGAGTTCAAATACATACAGACATAAAAACGGCAATGAAAACCTTGGTCAGGAAAGAGGGATAATTGGGAACTCCAAACAAAACCAAAAACCAAATCTCCGCCTACTGGCAGGAAACAGCAGTAGGAGGCAGACAGATCTCCCCGAGGAGAGAGTTTGGTGCCACGACTGAGAAGGCCCTTCTCCCAGGTTGCCACTCACCTAATCTCAGAAGATGCCCTGGGAGGAGATTATCTGCTCTCGCTTTGGCAGCCCTGGGAGGAGATTCTCCGCTCTCACTATGGCAGCCCTGGGAGGAGATTCTCTGCTCTCACTATGGCAGCCCTGGGAGGAGATTCTCTGCTCTCACTATGGCAGCCCTGGGAGGAGATTCTCCGCTCTCACTATGGCAGCCCTGGGAGGAGATTCTCTGCTCTCACTATGGCAGCCTTGGGAGGAGATTCTCTGCTCTCACTATGGCAGCCCTGGGAGGAGATTCTCTGCTCTCACTATGGCAGCCCTGGGAGGAGATTCTCTGCTAGGAGCAAGGCCCCGGAGGGAAGCATGTCTGCCTCCTTCCCTGACTGTAATGGTCCCATCGATTGCGGCTGGGAGCTGAAAGGAAAAGGGTTCTTTTAGCTAGAGCAGGACCCGGGTGCGATGGCCTCTTCTAGCCCTTCTGCCAACGCCCTTGTAAGAATAGGCCTCTGACATCTGGGCTCCCATTCAGGCTGTCGCATACAAATATGTGTTCAGCATCTGCCCTGAATTAGCAGCAGACCACTTCGTCGTTGTGCCACCTGGTTCTCTCAACTTCTGTTTTGTAGTTCATTTATAACGCTCATGAGCTTTGACAGCCAGCTCCAGGTTAATACATTTAATAAGCAGATTTTACCTGCTTTGGTGCAGGACTTGAGGATCCAAAGGACCCTTTGGGAAGCAGAAGAGCTTAAAAGAAGAGGAGGAGGAGGAGGAGATTGGAAAAGTAGCAGGAGCCTGGAGGTTCCTTGCCTGGAGCCAGTTTGGTGTCGTGGTTAAGTGCGCGGACTCTAATCTGGGAGAACCGGGTTTGATTCCCCACTCCTCCACATGCACCTGCTGATGTGACCTTGGGTCAGTCACAAGCTCTGGCACAGCTGTCCTTGAAAAAGAGCAGTTTGTGTCAGAGCTCTCTCAGCCCCACCCACCTCACAGGGTGTCTGTTGTGGGGAGGGGAAGGGAAAGGAGTTTGTAAGCCGCTCTGAGACTCCAAGTGAAGGGTGGGGTACTTTCCTCCCTCTGCCAGCTGACGTCTAATCCATCCCGCAGGTACACAGAACTACAGCGGTCTGAGTGTGTTCAGCGTCTCCCCAGTCGAAGGTACCGTTGGTGTCGGAAAGACCCAGGAGTTCACCATCACCTTCAGCCCCGACCACGAGAGCCTGCATTATTCCGACTGCCTAAAGATCATGCTCTTTGACAAGGTGAGACTGCCTCTGGGTCTGTGGCACGGAGAGCTGAGCGCCGGCTGGGGATATGGGCAGATGGGTCTGCTAGCACGCGCTCTTTGGGTATCTAAGCACCAGCCCCCTTTTGCTCATCTCTTCCCCTTCTGACGACTTGGAGTCCCCAGCTTCGTCCAGCCTTCAGATGCTTCTAAAACGCTGAAAGTGGGTAGTGTTTGCGACCCCAAAATGGCTGCCAGAGAGTAAGGTCAAATCACAGAAGGGTGGGCGGTGTGACTGAGAATGCCGCTGCTGAACAGGCATTCCCTGCACACAGGATGTGGAGTAAACCCAGGATTGGCCATTTGCTTTGGGGGAGGGGCGTGGCTTGGTTTCAGCGTCCAAAGGGAAGGGATTGTACCCTGCATCCCCCGGGGCTGGGAGAGGTGTGCAAGCCAGAGACGTAAGGAAATCCCTGTCTGTAACCCAACTAAGGGCGCACGGCTGTGGTGTGTCTGCCCAGGACACACTTCCCTGATCAGGCAGCTGGTTTGGAAGGACAGTTTGCCAGTGGGTTTTTTGTTCCCAAGAAGTGAGTGGGCTCCTAGACACACATTGGTGGGTGCCACCCATGTTGAGGATTACTGTTATAAAGCATCGTGCAGAATCCTCATTGCTGTTGATGTTACATGAGGCGAGGGACTGAGTTTGGGGGAGGCAAAGTGCACGCCCCCTTGGGCTTCAGCTGGAAGGGAAAGGATTATCCCTCTCTAACCATGGGGATCTGCAGCACTCCTTCCTCCTCAACCTCTCCCTGTCTTTTGGTTTGGTTGTGGTGGTTAGGAATGGTGGACTCTAATCTGGGAGGACCAGGTTTGTTCGATTCCCCACTCCTCCACATGCAGCTGATGGAGTGACTTTGGGTCAGTCACAAGTTCTGTTGGAGCTGTTCTCTCAAGGGCAGTCCTCGAAAGAGCTCTCTCAGCCCCACCTACCTCATAGGGTGTCTGTTGTGGGGGAGGGGGAGGGAAAGGAGAGTGTAAGCCGCTCTGAGACCCCTTTGGGTAGTGAAGGGTGGGGGTATAAATCCAATCTCTTCTTCTTTGTTCTTCCTATTAGTGCCGTAGGTTAAAATCTACAGGATGTATAATTGCATTTACATATATTTACATATATTTACATATATTTACATATGCGGTGGCTCAAGTGGTTAAGACGCTGAACTGCAGGCTGTGGAAGGTCGGTAGTTCAGCAGTTCAAGACCCGGGTGCCGCATGATGGAGTGAGCTCACATCTCTAGTTCCAGCTCCTGCCAACCTAGCAGTTCGAAAGCAAGAAATTGCAAGTAGATAAATAGGTACCACTTCGGTGGGAAGGTAACAGCGTTCCGTGCGCCTTGGTGTTTAGTCATGCCGGCCACATGACCACGGAAACGTCTTCGGACAGCGCTGGCTCTTCGGCTTTGAAACGGAGATGAGCACCGCAACCCTAGAGTCGGATTCGACTGGCTTTCGAGCAATGGAACCTTTACCTTTACTATAGAATCTTGCAGTCTGCATACATGACCCAAAAGAGAGTATAGAACCAGCAGCACCAGAAAGTGCTGTAAAAGGCATGAAACAGGGAACATATATGGCCGTCCAGACACAACCATTTCCTGTCTCTGGCCCAGGAGGAGAAGCTGAGTGTCTGCTACCTCCGAGGACAGGCTGCTGCTTCCTCTGGCACCCTCCCCTCTGCTCCGGCCTCCACTTCCTTCCTCTCCC